TTATTATTTTTTTTTTGTTTTTTAGTCACTACATACAGAGCCTCGATTACACTAAGTCCCTTTACCCCCAGTCGCCAAGCTAGTCAGTGTCCGCACCCTACTTGTTGTTGTTGTGGTCAAAGGTGGAAGTTACACCAGCTCAACGTACACAATGCATTCTTACATGGTGATGTTGAGGAAGAAATATACATGCGTTTAACCCCGAGTTACCTCGCTTCTGGTCCAAATAAGGTTTGTCGTTTGCGAAAATCATTATATGGCCTCCAACAGTCTCCCAGAAATTAGTTTGCAAAATTAGCCTCCACTTTACGCACCTATGGCATTTTCCAGTCACATGTTGATCATACCTTGTTTACTTATCATCGCCAGGGTATCTTCCTATTTGTCCTTGTCTATGTTGATGATTTGATCTTCATCAGGAATAATCCCGAAGCTTGTGAATCTTTCAAGCGATACCTAAATAGGTGTTTCCACATTAAGGATATTGACAAGTTATATTTTCTTAGCATCGAAGTTGCACGTGGATCCTCTCGTATGTTTTTGTTACAACACAAATATGCACTTGACATCTTGTCTGAAGTCAGTTTAATAGCTTTCAAACCAACAGACTTTCCCATCGAACAAATTCACATTTTGGCAACCCTCGACAGTCCTCCTTTAACTGATCATTCTAAGTTTTACCGCTTAGTTGGTCATCTTATTTTTTTCTCTATCATTCAACCCGACATCTGTTATGTCGTTCACATTTTATCTCAATTTCTTCATAAACCCCTTCAAAAGCATTTGGATGTTGTCCTTTGCGTCCTGCGCTATCTTAAAGGCAGTCCTGGTAACAACATCTTCTTGCCTGCAGACAACTCCCTTCAGCTATCCGCCTTCTGTGACTCTGATTGGGCCGATTGCCTGCTCACTTGTCGATCGACTACAGGCTACTTCATCAAGTTAGGAAATTCTCTGATCTCTTGGAAGGCCAATAAACAACTTACCGTTTCTCGTTCCTCCACCGAGGCCGAATACCGTGTTCTGGTCGTAGCTGCATGCAAATTGTCCTGGTTAAAATCCTTTTTGGCTTCATTGGGAGTTTTTATGACTCAACTTATGCGTCTATTATGCGATAACCAAGCTGCATTACACATTGCTTCCAACTCGGTCTTCCACAAACGCACAAAACCTATTGAAATCGACTCCCACTTTGTTCGCGAATAACTCCTGGTTGGTCGTCTCACTACAGCACATGTACGTTCCTCCGATCAGGTTGTTGATATATTCATAAAGGCCTTCGGACGATCCCAATTCCAGTACCTATCTCACAAGTAACCTTCATGCGCCAATTTGAGAGGGAGTAATGACTTATCTCAGATGCGATCTTCTCTATCGGGCGATCTCCTCATATCTCATGTATATATCCTTTATATATATTGTATATATCTTAGTCTTGATTTCCAAAGACTGAGTAGAAAAATTCTGATCTTTTCATGTAAACTTACTCGTCTATATATTAGGCAATCACGTTTAATAAAAAACTCAACTCTCTTTCACTAAATCTTGCTGCAAACTTAACGCATATAATGAGACATTTTTTTCTTGTAATGCTACATACATAATTTTCTATATGTCATGGTTCTTTTTTTATTGTTCTCAACATTTTTTATGAGATTTTTAAATTTATTATACTCGAATTTGAAAGGAAAAAAATATGCTCTATAAATTTTAGTAGTCAATATAAATTAATTTATTATATTAAATAATCATTTTAACCAAATTATTTTAAATTTATATACGTTTTTTACTGCTGTTTCACATGTTTTATTATAATTTCAAATATGATAATTAATTAGTCTTTAAATATTTTTTCTTTTCTTGAATATATTTTTGCTTATAATTACTTCATATATATATATATACATCATAATTCTCAAAATTTAGAATGTAAAAATTAAAAAAAAATAATAATAAATAAGACTTTGAATTTAAAATTTTAATATTTTTATTTATGAGCTATCAATTATACGAAGAGTATACCTCGAAGTTATTCCAATCCTTAACAGTTGAAGAAGAGAATAAAGAAATACATCACTCCAGTCAAAATCCAACTTTAGAATTTAAACATTTTAATCAATTTGGTCGAAAGAGATGTTTTAAGAATTTTAGTCAATAAATAAGGCTGTGAATTTGGGAACTTGCGTACTTAATTTATACTATATTTAGTTTGCGAGTTCCCAGTAAACAAAACAGGGTGTTTGGTCTAGTGGTATGATTCTCGCTTCGGGTGCGAGAGGTCGCGAGTTCGATTCTCGCAACACCCCGATCTTTTATTTCTTTTTAATTTTCGGGTGGGTTGGACCGATTTTAACGAAATTACTTCGACCCATCACGGACCGCATCTTGGGCCCAGCTTCCCTTCCTCTCACCTCAACTCACGATTCACGAGTTCTTAACCCCTCCTGCTCCAACCTTTGGCGTTTAGGGTTTTCAGTTTGAAGACGACGTCCTCCCTCCTCTTTATTATCCTCTCTGTCTCAGCGGTAATCAACCAAATTCTGCAACTATGAGTCGTTCGGGTCAGCCTCCAGATCTCAAGAAGTAAGTTTTCCTCACTTTCTGTTCCCCTTGTATGTTCATTTTCTTCTTTGTTCTCTTTTAGTAATTTTCGATTTCATACATTTGACTTTGCTTTCCTCCTTTTTTTTTTTTTTGTTATGTAATGCAGATACATGGATAAGAAGCTTCAAAGTAAGTGCCTTCCAATTCTGTGTTCTGACTCAAGTCTTCTCTCTTCCTTTTTTGCTCGCATCTTATTCTCTTTCCCCTCACACGTGCTTAAAATTGGCTTCGCACTGTTTTAGTTTAATGAACTGAGCTTACCATGAAATATGAACTAATTACCTTGTATACTATCGTTCGTATTTTGCAAGCAACGGGAAACCTATTTTTTTCTTTCTTCCTCTGTGTGTGTGTATTATCAGAGTTGGAGAAAGGATTAGGTACATGCAGTCTGTTGATAGGTCTTTAGAATTTAACAAATATAAGTACTTCGTCCTTCCAAGTAGCTGTCGCTGAATGATACAGACCTGAAAATGGAAGTTTGGACTAGTGTTGGAAACTGTAAGAGAAGAACCTGTGAATGTAGGGTTTTAGTTAGCGTCTCAGTTTGATGCTGTTGAAGTCTTTCATAATTCCTTTTTATTGGTTTGAAGTTATCTGCTTAGACTTATTGATGCTTTCAATTTCTTGTTTTAAGAAAACCAGTTACTCTGGAACATTGTTTCAGTTCTCCTCTTCATTTTTATAAGGCTGAAATTCATCGAATCTCAGAGTAGCTTAGTCATGTTCTTTGCTCATATCACCCTTTGGAGTGGAAAAGGAAAGAACATTGACTGATTGATTTCCTCAGTTAATTACTTCGTTAGCTGGAAAGAAAAACATAAACTCCTTTATAAATAGGTCTGGAAAGTAATCATGAGAGGCTGTTTGGATTGTTTTTCTTTATAAGCTAGTTTTGAGAGAAACAAATTACCAAGTGATTTAGATTTTTTTTCTTTAATAACATGAGGCTTGTGACCCGAAAGTGCAGAAAAGGAGACTGTTTACTTCAGTTTTTTCAAAGTTTATCAGCTCGAAAGTGAGCTAATCATCAAAGATTTTACCACACAATTCGTTCACAATCGAATAAACATTGTTTAGAATAGCTAATGTGCTTTTAAAAAGAAGCCGATCCAAATTGCTTAACTCACACTTTCTTTTTGCTTTTTGGGGTCTTATTATCTCTTGTGCTCTGGTTTCACTGTATTTATTGTCCCTTCTTACATTGTTTATAAATGCAATTGGTTCAAGTCATAATTCATACTGAGTTGATTTGATTCGGATTTGAAACTCATTAGTTCGGTTTCTCTTCAATTCTTACCTTACTCCTTAAAGTTGCATCAAATTTTTTTGATGTCTCCTTCATCTTAAGGGATTTGATATGGCAATTGAGTATGTAAATTATAATATAATTGTACATATCAAGAATGAGAATTGAATCAGACCTTCATATACTGTTGGAGGTGAACACATAATGCAGAATCAACATAGGCAAAACAGCCCTTCCAGCTCATATTTTCTGTTGAAATCATAACTTTTGGTAGTTATTTAACTTATTTGATCAGATCGATAGCATTCTTATATTTTGTTGTTGCAGTCAAGCTGAATGCAAATAGGATGATTGTTGGAACACTTCGTGGATTTGATCAATTTATGAATCTGGTGGTTGACAACACTGTTGAGGTGAATGGCAACGAGAAAACTGACATAGGCATGGTGGTGAGTTCCATTTTCCATTTGTACTCTTTGCATAATAGTCTGAAACTGATCAAATGATCCTGCAGTTGCTTTTGAAGTGCTGGTGTATAAGCTCTATATAATACCATACCTTTACAAATTAAATCAAAAACAGCAGATTTGATGACCCGATAATTATTATCTTGTAAGTGATAATGCCTTTGTTCCCTACAGGTTATCAGAGGAAATAGCGTTGTCACGGTTGAAGCTCTTGAACCTGTTAGCAGAGCACAGTGATTCTTGTTGGGTGGATTTGTGTTTTGTGTTTTTCTTCTATTAGATTTCAGGTGTGATATGGTTGATACTCTCGGAAAGTAATTAAATGTATAATTCTGGTGATTCTGATGGAATGTTAAATTACATGCTTTAGACCTAGTAGTTATGCCACATAGCTCATGTTATTCCAGCTGCTTGCTTCTTCGATCAAAATTAAAGGATAAAACTTGGGCTATCGAGACACGCGGAAACGCCTGTTTCGATATTGACAATTTATATAATGCTAAAATATAAATTTATTTTTTTACGTATTGATTTTTGTGTTAATCTAATCATTATACTTTCGAACAATATTCGAGTTCATCCGTAAATTTACATTAAATGTTA